GCAGCTACTCTCCGAATGAAAAGGTATACTCGAAATCCCTGAGATCGGGTAGGCGGAGCATTCGAACACTGTAAGGAACTGGTTACTGGTGGAATATTCCAGTCTGGGACAACTGTCATCTTGTTCTGTATTGGACAGAGACACGACATTGTGTCGAGATGAAAATATCGCATCAGAAGCGTAGACGCCTTGAGGGTAAGTTGAAACATGCGGCCACGCCTACCCGATCTCAGGGATCTCGAGTGTATGTGGCTGGCGTCGACAAGTGTTGGCGCTCGACTTTGTGTCACGTCACCCCTACTCACTGCAGTATCCCACCGAAAATGATTCATACCTCAGAATTTTACGATCACAAACTAGTTTTCTGCATTATCTTGGTCCTATCAATTTGATAACGGACGTCCTGCGAATAAGAGCCTTACAGTGACTGGTAGGTTTCATTTCTAGCAATGCGGTCACGAATAAGAAGTGTGGAAGGAGTTACTCCGGCTGCGGCTCCTGCAGAGGTCAGAGATATAAGCGTGTTGGTACACTAGCTAAGTTCTGCTGTGAGGTCGCAATTGTGTCACATCCTAATGAGGGCTTTCCAGAAGAAAGAAGAAAGTAAAGTATGGATAAGCAAGCAGAAGAATGAAGTTGAAACAATAATGAAAGGTGAGCAAAGCGAAGGGACATCGTTATAGGGCATAGGGTAGTACTGGACAACGAGTGGGCCATTACGTACACTTGCATGAAATGGTCCGCTCAGTCTACACTGCTGCAACGTACAAGTTAGAGTGAGAAGCTGTATAAGACCTACGGACCAATGAACACAGAATAGATAGTGAGAGGGCGCCCCGAAATGACGGAATCGCTGATATTTGACCTAAACGTACGACCCCGCGTTCAAAAATGGTGGCCTGCGCGGTTCAAATGCTAATGACAAGTATGTCATGACAGTAGTAGGTGATTCAGTGGTGAAGATAAGGAGTAGGAAAGTCTGCCAACTGCCTTATATAGAACGCCGAGCAGAACCAAGCTTGTACGTGACGAAGAAAAGGCGCAGTCTGACGAGTGCTGTTGCTGATATCAGCTTCCCCCATATCAACTCACCCCTGTCAATTCATCCCCTATCACTTCCAGTCGTAAGTGAAAAGAGGTAGTAGTGGAACAACCGGAACACCAGGGAGCCTTTAGAAATGAAATTTACATGTCGCGTCAGACAGTGGGAGGAGCGCCGCCTTTGTCGCGTGCGGCTCGCGCTTCCTCAGGCGTCTTTAGCTGTGTAATTGGTTCGTCCTTTGTGTCTGCGAACAGGGCTATCCTGTACAAAAGAAGTTCTTTCTAGACATGGAATCAGACGCCTTTGAGCAATGGCAGCTGGCGACGGGTAACAGAGTCAAGAGAATCGTAATTCGCCGCGCCAGTGGGCGTCGCGTGCGACGTCGCGCCCGCTAATGACGACGATTTTAGGTGGTACTGGTCGAGAATAGACAATGTATGACCAAAAACAGGCATTGGTGTCTCCCATGTCTATTATATCCTTGTCTACATGAAATCCGATGTTCCAGTTGAAAGAGTAGTGCAAATTGAGGAAACGTCGCGCCCATTGCCGCGCGCGACGAAGCGGCAATTTACGATTCTCG